AAAAGCAGGTGAAAAGAAAGAGGAAACAGGGATGTTAAGAGTCACAGTGTCTGTCTTGCCAAGTAACCAATATGCGTGATGGAGCCTTGCTTTCCTGGAGATGGCTGAGCACCTGCCTGGCAACAGGAAGCAGTAAATGAATCCCTTATTTTGCTTTGCTTACACATGCAGCTTTTGTCTTTATCTCAACCCATGAGTTTTCTCACTTTTGCCCGTCCAAGTTTTTCCCTCATCACGCTGGAGGGAAGTGAGTGAGCAGCTCTGTAGGGCTTAAAGCTGCCCACTGGGGTCAACACACAACAAAAGTCTGTAGTGATCTGAACATCTCGCAATAGTTTGATAATTGGTGAAAGTGCAAACCTCACGTTAGGAAAAAGAAAGGATCCAGAAGAGACAGAAACTGAGATAATGAGGACTCTGTCACACATTTCTACAGGTCTTTATACTCCCTGTGGGTAAGAGACAAACGTTGCTGTTGAAATGATTATACTGGCCACTGAGCCTGGCAGAGTACAAATGCACAGGAAGGTAATACCCTTCTGCAGAAGGCCAGATTGCAATACTTTCAGTGATGACAGAACACAACATCATTCCACACATCATTTTAGAGAAACCAATGTGACCCATGAGCAGGTACAGTGCTAGTGAACTTGAATATGACCCAAGACACTAAGACAGGAACCAAAGCCCTGTTCCACAGCTTGTTTTGCAGAAGCAGGTATTGACAATACCTGGCAACACAGTCACTCTTGAGCTACTTCCAGGGGTTTCATGAATACTTATTTTTAAATATAAATTCCCACTGTCCTTTGAGTGTTAACATTAAGGTGAATCACCTGATCACAATTCCCTCTGGGCCTGACTGTACACTACTGTTTTAGAACAATTTCACTAATATTTGCAGTCTGGTCAATCCTGCTGGGAAAGAAGTCTCCAATGCTTTGGGCATGGTAGGTGGGGTGGCCAGAGGCACAGTTACATACACAGAATTATAGGGGGGTTGACCCCAAATGTTGATGAAGCAATATTTAATAGACTTATTTCAAAAGTATTCTCTAACGTTATTCTACAAACATTATCATTTTTTAATATCCTATTTTTTCCTGATGTTTGAAGATAAGATCTTCTTCAAAGAAGCATGTATATAAAAAGTTTACTGATATAGCCTTCAAATCCATTTTACATGAATGATGCCAAGAAGCCTGATAACTTCCTAAGCTTCCTTCAATTATTGTTGCTTCTCATTTGAATGAGTGATGAGACTTTTGTATTCCCCTGAACTAGCCCATTGGCTGGGATTCCAGTCCCCAGCTGACAGTGGCCATAAACCTTTCTGCAGCCAACACATTCAAGGACAGAACAGTATCATCTGTGTTTACATTCTGGTTTTTACCACTTGCTACATTCTGTTCATTGGCTTTAGCTGGAGACTTGCTAAAACATACCTTCTGATTCATTCATCTGCAGGGAACTTAGAAAATACACTCTCTCTGACAACTAACATCATAATTACAACTATATTCATTATAATAGATTCAGTACATAGAACCCTTACCCCAAAGCTCAATAACGTTTTACCTTTTTTTTTTTTTTTCCCTCAAAAGTGATCTGGGGACATCTGAGGAAAATCACATCGGCCATTCATGACTCATAAGAGATGATCTGGTTTTTGTTCAGTTTACAACACCTCAGCTCCATTTCACCCCTAAATAAATGATGGCTTGAACACAATCACCACAAAATGATTAAATGTCTAACCATAACTTTTGTAGTGTAGGTTCAGTAGATAACTACTGAGGAAGAGTGGAGGTGAATGACATAGTAGGGGGCCACTTAATGCAAAGCAGAGAGCCATGAGAACAGCTAAAAGAAGCAAAGAGAAGTTGCTGCTTGCTAAACTGAAAGAGGAACAGAAACGAAAACAACAACAAAAAGAAGATCGTCTGTTTTAAAAACTGAGACAGGACATTTGGGATGGGAAGGTAGTCTATAGCCCATTAGAGACCCAGAAACAGGAAATGCCCGCTGATTTTCTAGGAAACCACAGAAGCCTCATTTTACTTGATGCTTCAAAGCCCTCTATTGAAGCTTTCACCTTCATCATGGCCATCTTGTTAGTCTGTTTTCATTTATTCCCATTGGCCTCCTCAGCAGGGAGATTCTCCTTAGAACGAGATGCAATACTGTGCATTTCTCAGAAAGCTTTCACCTTACTTCTACTCCCCAGAACAATAAAAAGTCTCATCATTCCCTTTACTGTAGCCATTTGAATCTGGAGTCAAGGGGGAATGCTTGGAGTTTTTTCTGCTTGTTTTTCTCCCTCACCTCGCAATCATACTGATGAATTCTTGCAATTTCCAAAGCTAATTCAGAGAGATCTGTGTTCTTCAGGAGCTGAAGAGACTGGCAAGTATCTTGCTTTAGCCTTCTCCTTATTTATTATGGCTTTTTTTTGTGAATGTGACAAGTTTATGGAAAATTTTGAAGTGCAGTCATGTTGCTGAAATCCACAACTGGTATGTCAATCTGTTGCCTTCAGAGATACAACAATCTGTACAAGTAAACTATCTGGCCTTAGTTTTCCAGCCCTAAGTTATACTGAAGATCATAAAAAAGAAATATCTTGGTACGCTGGCAAAGACCGATGAAACTTCAACTGAAAAAAAATCCTGCTTGCTGTGGAGAAGATAAAAAGATAGACTGAAAAGGGACAAGACGTTGCTTTTACTGGGGTAAAATATAGCTTCAGAGGCAAGAAAGAAGGAGGGAAACAGCTAATGTCAAGACTCCCAGGGAGCTCTTGAAAATGAAACATGCATATTTTGGTATTATTCTTGTAATGAATAAGAACTAAAGAAAGGAAAGCTGCTTCCATATAGTGAAGTCCAATGAATATTAATTTAACTAAGTAAGCAACATTTCTTAATAGTGGCCTGCTTTGGAAAAGAACTTTTGAATTTAACTTGTTATTTCAGCCATCATCCATGAGTCAGCATACTTGCACACAAAATGTTAATGAAGGAAGACAAAGGCAATCGCATCAAATTTCAAGATATGAAAGTTGTGATGAGATGATAACAATTTATATCCCAATTATTTCCTTCAGGCTTAACCCTGAATCCTTTGTTCATTCATTTTGTATTAAAAATTCCCACTGAACTCAAACCTGATTTTCATGACTATGTCTAGATTTGCTTGAGAAAGAGTTTTGGGCCTAAAGTCTTCATTATTAAAAAGCCTGGGAACTATTTAACTACCATGAATACTGTCAACCAGTTCTGACAGCGAATTTAATATTGGTCAAAGAGAAAGAGATCTCAGGTGAAAACAGGGTTGGGATTCACAAACCGTCGCAAATTCAGGCTGGACAGATGTGAAGGTCACCCACCATCCCTTACTTGGGGAGCCAGGCGCCGGTGCTGCTGCACTTGTTAGCAGCCACAGCTGAACCTGAGAGAGAGCACGGAACGGTCACAGCACGGCCCGAGCCATGACCCATGGCTGTTTCACATACTACGCCGACTCGGATGAAGCCAGACTTGCCCCTTTTTGCTCTTTCTGCCAGTGACTGCGTCCTGCAGTGAAAGCAGCGAGCAGACACTGAGGGAAGTACCACGATCAATCACACCAGAATGACAACCCACAGCATGTGGACCTGTCTGCATCAGACAACACAGTACAGGCCAGAAATATCAAAGGTATGACTGACTTCAAGCAATGAGATCACAGCATGGGGCAACAGCCCAAATTTGCAAAACACTATGTAGGGTGCCCAGGCTTACAAGTGAACCAGAAGTCAGGTACCTCATCTGCACAGGTGTTTATGAAAATCCCAAGAAGCATCTACCTTTTTAGATGATTTTACAACTTTAAATGACTTGCTATTAGTATCCATAGTGCCTGTGTCAATTTTGAAAATGGTATTTAGGTGCTTTTTAAAATTTCACCTGCCCCAAGAAATTTGCAATTACTTACAGATCAGACAAAAAATACAGCTCTTGCCTTGACATTCACTGAGGGTTGAATTTCCCTGAAATTTTCCTCACATGCATATCTCAGTAGTGAGATCCAAGCACTCCTAGACTGATTTCCAAATCCAACCTCCAACAAAGCAAAATGAGCGTTTGTCCTGTTTAAAGCCACTGTAGAGAAAGGTTTGAGCTCAGTGTCAACCCTAATACAAGTGTGGAAATTTAGTTTAGGCCCACCTCTGACAACAGTTCAAAACCATGCACTGAAATATATGTACCACAAGTAAACCTGACTCTAGAGTGTCCAGCAGTTACTCAGAAATGTGTGCCTTTGCTACTGTTTGGGGGAGTGAGAAACATTTAGAAATGCCCAACAACATTTAAATCCATCAATACATAAAATGGAACAGTTAACCACTAAACAAAGGCAGGGGCTTGGGGGTGGGGGGTGGTGGTGGAGAGATATAAATTGTGTAACCATTGCAATCAAAGGAATACATCATGTAGAAACTATCCCGTGTGAGATTTTATTATGTAGCCACTATGGAGAGAAAGTTAAGACTGCTAAATCCTGCCAGTGCAGCAAGCCAAGTATGGCTGCAGCCATGCACTGGGACTGAGTGTGGGCACTCAATCATGGCTTTTTAAATTTTATGATCTTTGCTTCGTGGAAACTCCCAGGAGAATTTCCTGATGGACTACCTGCAACCTGTGTTTTGCCCCAGTAAAAACTCAAAGCTCAAATTATTCATGTGTAAGCAGCTTCTCTAAATGTTTCCATTTAAAGAAACTCTCTGAAAAATTTACTGCACTTAAGCTGTCAGCAAAAATAACTTTCCTAATCTAGTTACAAAACAATGACCAAAATACCACACAGTCACTTAAAAAAAAAAAAGAAAAAAAACAAACAAAAAAAAACAATTTTACCAAAGCTGAATTTTCCTTTAAACAATCTCCGGGCAAAGTCTGTAAAAGAATTAACCGGTAGATCGTATTTATAAATATGAAGCAAGCACTAAAAATGCTTTATTCAGAGTTTGCAAAGGCTTTCTTGAAGTATTTGTGTTTAATTATCGCTGGTAATTTGAAGCCTGAGCCTTAAAAGTATCCAAGCTAGGCACCTGTTTTTCAGTGACACTGAGCTGCTGCTTATCAATTACACGTATCTTTAGAATAATAAGCCATAAAACATAAAAATGTAATTTTTCAGTACTTTTCCATACATTGGTCCCAAGAATTCTTAATATTAAGGGCTTACAATAGAACACGATTGAGATCATATACAAACAGTTTAGAAGAACTGAAATTAAATAACCACATTATAAAGACGTGTCCCCTGCAGCTAAAGAAGTTCAAAAAACCCATTCAAATAAGCAAATAACATTTTTTTTACATTTACAAATGAAACATCATATGAGTATTTATTGATTTTTTTAAAAATTCAAAAATACATTGTAACAGAACAGAATGTATACGTTCTTCAATGAAAGACAAAACTATGGTTATCATCCGGACCAGAATACAAATACATGCTAACAATTTAAAATCATTTTGGGTCATTCAGGAAACATGAAACAAGTTAGCTGTTCGCAAATGCAGTAGTTTTCTACTTGGTAAATATGCCTGAGAAAGTTAACCTGTAAAGAAATCAGCTTTTAAACTCTTAAACACAAAGAGCTTTCTAGGCTGAAATGGTGAAGAGACCTGTGATATGCACCTGACAGGCCACTGAGCCATTTCCCACAGAGATTCTGTTCACTGCTCCACCTTGGCTCAGCCACTCAGCAGTGGCAGAGTTTCACATCAATACCAGGCTTATTCAAGCGAGGTGTTAAAAAAGCATGCTAAGATGATGTAAAACCATCAGTTACATACACAGCGGATTGATGTTAATAATCGAGATTCTCTACCAAACTCCTTGGTTTGTATCAGGGCCAACTAAAAAGTAGTAGTCTAGTTTATGGATGAAACAGATTATATTTTTTGGCTCAAGGTAAGACCCTTTAAAAACAATTTCTACATAAGCATCTAGAATCAAAGCATGAAAAAAACCTGGACAAACACAACTAATCATTTTACAGTAACCACATACTGTAGGCAAGTAGGAATCAAAACAGTAACATAAATTGTGCATCTGTTCTATGAAAATAAAGTGTTACTAGTAGACACAAGCAATCTGACAAGATGTGAAAGTGAGCAGTGAAAACTTCACGGATTGAATTTCTTTTCATCAGAATTCATCTGTTTCTACTGCAGGCAGGTAACAAATGGAACTCGGGAAAACTGAATTCCTATTAGCAGCTTAATTCTACTACGGTGATGCTTAGGCTTTTACCGTTTCTTGCATTAAGACACAATCAAACTAATGAATCAAAAATGACATTTTAAAAATGAAGACCAAAAGAAAGCTGAATGTACATTTTAGACAGAAACAGTGTTAGGTCAAATCCACAACTGGTGATATCTGATGTATGCAAACGCAATTTAACTATACTGCTTACGCCAGCAGAACATCTGACACTATTTCCCCAATGTTAGCAGCCTCTTTTAAATCACTTCCAACAACTGCATACTTTGTAATTTACATGGGTTTTGATGAAAAAAATCATTATCAGGCATGCAAAAATTCTAACAGAAACCTCCCATTTCCAGAATTTGGTTACATGATCAAATTACATATGCTAAAACATATGAAACCAACTTTTCAAATGAAGCAAATTCACAACTCTGAAAAGAAAAAAACAAAACAAACCCCCAAAACAAAAACCTACAACAGGAAAAAGAATATTTCTACATAGCTGGTCCTATCCTCCAATGGTGCAACACAGTAAAATGAGCTACCATCCATATGTGTGTAATTTTGCATGTAATGGTGACTGGGAAGAGGCTTCCTTTTCCCATCTTCCACACTGCAGAAATGACTGGATATACTACAGAGGCTGCCACTGTCCTATGAAATGTAGGATATTTGCCACTGCTGGATACAGATTATCAGTGCTGAAGGACTCATGTGCTGACCCAGCGTGCTTCATCTTACATTCTCTGGTATTGACTGTGATGTCAAAAACATTCTGCACTGCTCTGACACCAGCTCTGCTCCCAGGCTGCACCATCTGATCAAAATGTTGTTCTACAGGTTACAACTCAGAGGTGCAGGGTGGGAAGCAGAGTAACAGCTTCAGCGACCCGGCCCAGAAGACAAACGCAAAGTTAAGGTGGTGTGTCAGTACCTTCTGGATCAGAGTCAAAGACAGAAATCAGCGCCAGAGCAGCATGTAAAGCTTCTAATGGAGAGAAGTGAAGACTCTCAAAGAAGTGCAAGTAAAAAGCATAATTTAAGCCTGTAATTATTTAAGGAGAATAAACAAAGGAGAGGAAGATGGCCTGCAGTAAGGTGAATGGGAGGAAGGAACAAAAAAGAGAAGGAGGGACGTGTATATTGGTGCAGGGTTGTATCTCCTGGACCCAGAAACTGCCTTGGACACCAGCTAATTTTACAAGATAAGTTACATGCATGCCCACATTCAAGAGGGCAAGAGTGAAACCTTGATGGCAATGCTATGATTCTGGCTGAAGGGCTTCATTTTCCCCCTCCCATACCTGAAAGCCTTGAATCCTTGCCAAATACTCCAGCTGTTTTGAAGGCTGCACTGCAGAACAGGGGGAAGCAGGAGATATTCCTTTTAGACCTATGGCTTCGGCAGTTGGGGATGTTCCATTCATGAGAAGTTCCCTGGCAATTGTAGCTGTGCTATTTGTTGTAGGAGATATGCTGAAGAAAGAGCTAGAAGTCTGGCTCATTTCTTTGGACGACAAATAGCTTACAGTGGTACCAGGGGCTGATTTGTTGCGGCTTGCTTCCATCTCTTGATAAACGTCAGGAGAGAGATGGAGTATTCCCTTTGGTGCTGAAAATAAAACCAAAGATCATTCTCATTACTCTAGAATGGGTTTGACGCGTAGTCAATTTTCATGAACAGATTTTGCAGTGGAAAACAAAGTAACAACTTTGAAGCAGTATCTTTTTTTTTTTTTTTTCCACAGTAACTTTAAATGAAATTGCATAATTTATTCAGAAACAAAGCAGATCTGAAGTGCCCCTCTTCTTCCTCTTCCCCCACTCTTTTTAAGAGGGTACAAACCTGGACTTAAAACTGTGGTTAGCACAGAATACACAACATGAACAAATAAAGTTTGGAGATTTACAAACCACGAGGAACAGCTGTTACTTCAAAATAGTAGCACAATCATTACTTCACTACAATCTTCTGCCTCCTACCTCATGCAATAATTTAGGCTGTTATTTCATAAATAATTTAAACTAAGTCTAAATTGGTTTGTTTTCACATACAATGAAGCATTTGTTGGAACCATGAGTGCCCAGTTTGCTGATGTAAGAGGAAAACCCTTTTCTTATCATAAATAAATTGAAAAATGAGCTTGAAATGTGTAATTTCATATTAATAGCATACTTTCATCTTCTAGTATTTATCTGAAAATAACATAGGTGAACCTGAGCCATATGGCATTTTGTTCTAGGGATGATAAACCTGTTTGTTAACTGATTTAGTAATCCCAAGAGAAATCAAAGGGTTCAATGCTTAATTCATTTGCAGTACATATTAAATTCATCTCAGAACACAGAATAAATTCAATGAAGAGAATAAAATTAATTTTCAGTTACCTAGAAAGGATTCCTCTAATCCTAGTAGTGCTAGTATTTTTAAAGAAAATGTCTACCACAAGGAGAAGACTCAAAAAATATTACCAGTAATTAATATCCTCATTTTCAACTCCGTGGTGAAAATCGAACTTCCTCACTGCTTACTCAGCAAACTGCTTACCGGTGAGTCTTTTAACTGATTTACTTACACATTTGGCTTTTAAAGTAATATGACTTTCAGAAAGCTGGAACATGAGCTTATACCATTCCCAAAAATGTATGCTATTCACCTGATCGCTCTCCCCACCTACCTTTGTGGGGCTGGGGAGCCTGGCTGGATCCTGAACTAGAACTTTGAAGGTGTTTTACCCAGTCTTACAACTGGCTCCAAAGCCAGAGGACCCTGAACTTAACTCGTGAGCGAAGCACAAATTCAAGACAATGTTACTGGGAAGGATGGAGAACAGAATCCCTAAAATTTGGTTTTTCTCCATTTAGGATAATTTAGAATATAACCTTACAGATAATAACAACAGTGTAAACACACAGCATTATTTAATAGTTCACAATCACAATATGATAGAGTGATTTTAAACCCTTTTTCTGAGGCTATAAACTCCAAGGCCTATGACTGCTCATATTTTTAAATAGTCTTAGACAAGAGATAACATGAATGAAAACTAAACTAGATAATACAATTATTGATAGTTGACGTTAGGTTACAAAATCAAACAGCAACAATAATATTGAGTAGCAGGTGTTCACCACCTCCTAAGACCTGCTCACTGTAAATCTGATTTCCTATAAATATTGGAGAAACAGAAATGAAAGTGGAATAAAAGGCAAAACAGTATACTTGTTTAGAAATAATACATTAGCCCCCACAAATAAATTTTAGAAAAACACTACAACATTAAATTAAAAAAAGTTTAAAGAAATTTAAAATCAAGTCCAGTGCTGCAGATGTCTGTTCCATTGATGTAATATTACTTAAAACAAACATTTTACATGCTTTCTTAGCCATTTCACTGTTTTTACATGATCCACCCAAATATCTAACTGCTGTCTGGAACAATGGTTTGGAAAACTTCCAGATTACTAGGCTTTCTAAATGTTAAAATAACTAATATGCAGCATATGATGAATAAAAAGATATTGAGCAGAGTATAGCAAATGCTCTCAAGTACTGACTTTAGTCTAATGGTGATGTTAAATTAATAATAGTACTTTTACACTTATGCAACACCTTTCTGCTAAAGACTTCAAAGTGCTTTATAAGCAATAATTAATTTAAATCATACATTGGCTCTGAGAGACAGATATTATATTACCATCATTGATTATCTCTGGAAACAAAGTAATGTAATATTCTAGACATTACATTAATAAAGTTGCAAGCTATTAACTTTTTATATTCAGGGCCTATGTTTCATGAAGCTTCTTACAAACTTGTTTTAAAAAGCCAATAAAAACTTGGTGTCTTTGAAAACTTCTATCAAGCATATATTAATTGTAATTAATTATCTATTTTTAATACATAATTGAGGATTTTTTACATGTCATTCCTCACTGTCATCTGCTTACTTCAACTCTGTTGAAATATAGAAGAGTGTATATATTTAAGTTTAGTTACAGTCGTAAAGTTGTTATCACAAGACAAGGAGTATGACATCAACAGAGGACTAAGAGTAAGAACAAAATAACTCATCAGAAATTATCTTCATTAGTCTTCAAACAAGCACTTCATTAAAAAACATGGGAGAAAGAAATACTATCCTCTAAAACCTTTACGCATTGCAGGAGAACATCTCCAGGTGAATATTTTCATAGTTTTGTTAGTCTTTCAGCTAAAAAAAAATTGGATTTTTGTGTCCACTAAGTATTTATCCCATACTAACTTCACCATATTCCAAAGGCAGCATCATAACTATAAGGAGTCACAGGATCTATAATACTACCATTTAGACCAACAACATTGCACCTTCTGCTGGACATTAACTTAAGAGTTACATTCATGAAACATGTTAAAATAATTTTCATTTATATTATTTAAACCTGTGGGCAAATGTGCTATGAAAATATGCAGGCTAGCTATGCAATGTAATCACTAACATTTGAAAAACATGTCTTATTCATCCTTGGCGGTAATTGTTAGCAGTCTCTGACAATCTTCTGAAGTCTCCGAAAACTCCACGCCAAAGAACTCTCTTACCTAAGAATAAATTTCTTGATCTTCCATTGTCTACTTTTGCTGTCATGTACTACTGCAAAACAGTTTAGACTCGAGGCAAATGTACAAATAAGATACAAAATGGCCCAACTATCCTTCACAAGCCTTGCCCTTGAAGTGTAATCTTGGTGCTTTTATTCCACTTCTTTTCACAGCACCAGCAGTAGACGCAGTCTCCAAAAGATATGTGGGAGTGGTGGTGTTTTTATCCCTAACCCTTCCTTCTTTAGGGTCCCCTTGGCTGGGAAGACAAGGGGACTTTTCTACAAAAGGGTCCCGCACTGTCTGGACCTTCAGTCCTCCTGGAGCTCGTGGAAAACTAACCTAACCATTGGAGGGACTTTCTGCACAGGGAATGGGGTGAGGAAGGAGAACAACCGACAACATCACTTAAGGAGCCTCAATGTAGTAAGACTCCACAAAAATTGAATTTGCTTACGCAGGGACAGTGTCAAGTTCCCCCACAGCAGTCGGCTACTAACTTAAGTTCAGGGTGATGACAGTGCTGCCTGCACACTCACAGGTATTAGTGCCTACACTGGTACCACTGGTGTCCCATTTTCAATTTTCTATTTCTGTCAGGGAGATCAGAAAGCACGAAAAGCTGGAATTTCAATTCTATCATTCAACTCCAAAAGATGACCTACAGAATCAGGCTTGTATTGTCAATCTGCATATATACACCAGTACTAATTTTCTGTCTTTTCTCCTTGACCAACACTGTAGGGATACTCTTCCTTTGCCTTCACTCAATGACTTCTCCTGGTTCGAGGTCACTCATCGACTTTTTGTGTTTACAGACACTCAGTATACTTGGTCTAAACCACAACTTTATTCTTTTGTGGAGAATCACAATTTCCTCTCTAGGCTCTCACCTGTCCAACAGGAAAGCTATACCTGTTGGTGCATCAGAAGCAGTGTCAGTTGATGTACGATCTCCGACACCCCTGAAGAGCACATGCTCTTCCCTGCACTACCACCAGTCATACTGGGCAACAGCATGAGGGTGTGCTTTTATGTCTTGTGTAATGATACAAAGTCAGCCATGATATAATCCTGTATATGACGTGCTCATAAATTAAGTTTATCACCCTGGTATTTGAAATAATCCTTCACTGGATGAAGAAAAGATTGCTCATAAAGGGACAATGAGTATTTCGGGAACTGAATAAAATACTTGATAGGTAATCATCAAAAAGCTTTCTTTCAGATTATGCTACCTGTATTCATGTTGAATAAAGCCTTCTTACATGGTGCTTCTTAAAGTATATGGCAAAATCTTGTAGTAAGGCATTGAGCAGGAAAAGTTAGAGCCAGATCTATTCCTGACTTCACTATTTCATAAGTTAAGATGGGCAAAACCTTAAGAGGCATGGAGGACTTTCACATGAAATAATTCCTCCATAGAACTGACAAGTTCTCAACATGTCTTAGAATATGGCCCATCATAAATCCACTGAGAGCAAAAAAGAGAATTTACAAAACCAAATAACTATTTCAGTAACTAGACTGAAAATTGTAAATATTATCATAAAAAGAAATTACCATTTTATACTCCACTCACTGTAAAAGCCTATTTATATACTAGAATATTTTCAAATTTTGTTTTATTACCTCAGTAGGAACTCAAAAAACGTCAGTCAAACAATTGAATAGGCAAATAGTATGTCCATTATGTTCTCAGTAATAGTCTACACACAATCTTGGCTTGAAATACCAAGATGCAATCATTACTTACTTAATACAGCTATCTGTGGTATTTCTAAGTCATAAGCTACTGCAATATTCAGACATGAAAAAATGTTTTGTCATTACACAATGTCCTTCAATCAAAAGATCTCATCTACATGACCTTAAACAAACTGATGTTATATAAAATCACTCATTAAAATACTAGGTTATTTAACCTTAAAATAACCATGACGCCGAAGTAAATACTACTTAGTTCTTCACAAAGTCAGGTCTTGATATCCTTAATTTCACTGGAACATTTTCTGTACAGCTAAAAAGGAAAC